GAAGGGCGTGGAGGTGGGCAGACGACAAACGTGGGAAGTGCTTGACCCCTGACCTTTGCCCTGACAGCAGAAGATAAAGACTTGCTGACGTCATGGCCACGTGGGTAGAGGGAGCAAAGTTTGATGTGGCCGGCCGGTTTTTATTTTTTATTTTTTAAATTTTTGGTAAGTGTTTTACGGCGCTCGCAACTGCGTAAGGTCATATGAGCGTGAGGGACACATTAAACTTAAACATTTTCGGTTGGCAAGAAATTTTGAATTTTACCCAGGTGCCTGCTGAAGACTACTCTTATCGATTTTGGACCACCAAGAGATATTTACCGTACGCAACTTGCACACGGGACCTCCGAGATTTCGTGCCCTTGTCCGAGAAGGCTTGGTGTAGATCTTTCCTACCAGAAGATCAGGGGTGTGGCAGAAAGACAGCAGTAAGAAGGAGCCAAGGAGTAGCAGTAGAAAGGCAGCAGAAAGAGTCAGAAGCCCAGAGGAGGGGGCAAAGGAGGCGAGGGGGTGGGGGCAGAAAGTGGAGACGAAAGCAGACAACAGAACATTGCTAGAGAGCAGGACAGGAGACGAAAGGAGACACTTTTAGAGAATAATTTTTTCCCGCCATTGCCCGGACTCGAACCCGGGACCTTTGAATGAGAGGCCAACACCTTAACCTCTAGGCCACAAGCGCTCCCTGGCGGGGTTTGTGGGCGTGTCCTAACCATCACAGTCCACAGGGGCAAAAGTCTGGGTCGTTTTGTTGTTGTTGTTGTTGTTGTTGTTGTTGTTGTTGTTGTTGTCGTTGTCGTCGTCGTCGTTGTTTTGAGAGTTCTGTGGAAAAACGTATTTGCCTACGTCAAACCCTGTGGGTGGTTGGTGGATGCTCTGGTGTGGTTTGCTTCTCCTTCTTTCCTATCAAACGTCTATCGTCCTCATCTCCCCTCCTTCTTTTTTGTGTGTGTTACTCTCTTGTAACACCTCTAATCTTCGGCACGTATATGACCTTATTGTGTTGCAAGTGCCGTAAAACTTTTACTAAAACTAAACTAAAGCCCCAGTCACTGTGCTGTGTGCAAAAGCTGTGACGTCAGATACACAGCAAAAAGCACACGGTGACCTTGATACATGACACCAAGTTCAAAATCTACAACCACTTTAAAAATATAAATAAACGTATACATGTTTGTTCAAGTTTAGATATCGCATCAAATCAGGCTTCCCGCGCGCAACTTTGCTTATGTTGGTACGCTGATTCCGAAAATGGAATAAGATTCTAGCTCCGATATATATATATTTTTTAAAATTTGAAACGTTCCCAAAGTTTAATCTCTCGTGGCGAAACAAGTTAGCACTGGCGTCTGTGGTGTAGCGGTTAGGTGTTTCGCTGTCGCATACAGAAGACCTGGGTTGGACATACAGAAGACACGGGTTGGACATACAGAAGACACGGGTTGGACATACAGAAGACACGGGTTGGACATACAGAAGACACGGGTTGG